GTTTGTGTTGTTTCCCGCCCGCGCTCTGGGTGCTCTTCAGTCGGTCGGCGTATGTGAGGCCGCAGGTAGGGTAGGCTTTGGACCCGTTGTAGTACTGTGGACGAACGCCACAGACCTGATGAAGTACGTGAAACTCTCTCCTTGGAACGCGCAGCAAAGGCCCACGTACGACGCACATCGGTGTCGGCCGCATTTGTGCCGGCTGCTTGTGCCGGCTGTGCGCAGGCATCGCACTGGGCGTAGGGGCGGTCGGGGCAACTAGTATGTGGCGATCAGGCTCGGGTGGGAACTCCTCGGAATCGGAGATGTCAGTAGACGGGATGCTGTCGTCGTTCTCGCCTATGGTGTAGTAGTCGCTATTAGGCAAGACGGGAAGGTAGTTACAGGGTGAGACTGGAGAGTCTGCCATGACGGGGACAGTGGAAACGTCGACTCGTGCTGTAGGGAGCCGGAAGCGTGGATAGGCGCGGCTCATCACTGCGGCGTTGTATTTGCAGACTGCTAGATTGAGCGATATGCCAGTGCATAGTGCTGGTCGGCCGAGCGGATGCTATTAGTGGTGAGTGGATTCCTAATGTTTAGCGTTCAGCGTCCAGGTGGCATGTGTTGAGCGGTCTCTAGAGTTGTTTTGCACAGCGCAGAATGCCTACTGGACTTTGCGTTGGGAGACGACAGCCAGTCAATGGACTGAGGTATCTGATCACTGACATTTCATCACAGCAAATATTTTTTCAAGTTGAGAACACATTGATCGGCTGCTTTCGCAAGGTTTGTGCGCAGCGAATTCAACTTGCTTGTACCTGCAGGCAGCAGCCACAGAGATGGCGCCCGCTGCAAGCTCGCTGAGGGCACAATAGAAGTTGCAAACGTGTTGATCATGTTGTATTCCTGAAGGTGATCCATGCATTCTCACCTTGGTGACCGCCGTCGCGATATCATGCCTCTTGGACATTACTTTGTCCAGACAAGAATCCTGTTACAGACAGATCTAATGGCCGTGCGTAGTCCTCATTGTTTACAGCCCTCACTCGCCTGATGTATTCAAAATTCCCCACATCTTGGCGCTGCCCTGCATTGAATCACACTGGCAGCTTCCTTTAATTTCCGGCGGTGCTACTTCCAACCTGCGTGCGTTCTCGAGTAAACTTGAATGAGTACCAGCATTATTATGAAATACAGATACGACCATTCTCATGGCACGCTGGATCCTCATGTCGACGATCTGACGCTCGACACCGTCGTATAAATTGTCATTGTCATCGTCCAGCTCCATAACCGAGGACACGGCATCTCGCAAATAACACTTACCTTGTCGAAATATAATGACATCGATCTACTCTGACGATTCTTACCCTCCTTCCGATGACGACCAATTGAACGATGATGATGGCCAATGGTTCAATGGGTACAGTGACGACTACGTCAACAGCGATTTTGACAGCGTGTCCTCTGACGAGGATGGGACCGATGACATGGCCGGCCCAGGAAGCGCCGACGCCTCATTCTCTGCTGCCGGCTCGGACGTCAACACGCTTAGCGGCAGCTTTGGACGAATGAACGTTGCTCCAATGCCCACAGTCAGTCGGGCATCTCCTGCGCAACAGAACCCCGGTAGAGGAATGTCGATGTGTCCGGTATGGCGATCCCACGCGTGACAAGAGGACGACGTGTCTGATTCCCTGCGCAGGTCTGCGATGTTCGTCCCACCTACAGCCACAATGGGAAGAGCTATCCTACTTGTGGGCTCACTTGTGCTACCAAGTATAATACATTGAATGGGGCTAGAAGCGGTACCTCCGGCGGAGTAGGAGCCACCTCTAGCACCATCAGCACCCTCTGCACGGTCGGTCCATTGATTATCCATATGGGATACCATTTAATTGACGGCCTCGTCCATATGAAGGTATGCGGAAAGCGCCCCGCGTACAGCCAAGGCGGAAAGAGTTACCCCACCTGCGGTATGACCTGCGCAGGAAAATACAAGACGGGAAATTTCACAGCTCTTTGTGTGGTGCGTATTCACACTGCGTGTGTTCGCACCGCGGAGAGTGTTAATGACAAAAGCCAGATCTGTGGGGCGCGTCCTGCATTTAGTCGCAATGGAAAGAGATACCCCACATGTGGCCTAACCTGCGCTGCGAAATACAATATTACGACGAGCAGCCGCAGCGGTAGGGGGTTCATTAAGCTCTGCGTCGTGAGTGTCGAGGGAGACAGCCCCAAACTGGAGCTGACAAGATCGCGCAGATTTGCAAAAAACGCTCATGTTTCCGCCGTGGCTCCGTCGACTACCTCACATGCGGCATGACATGCCTCAAAATCCTCTGTAACGGAGGTGGCGATAACACAAAGTGCAATGTGAGCCCGCAATACAGTCCTCTCAGAACGTGGAACCTGATCTCGCCTGCTAGTATTGCCACCGCCGCCCAAAGTTCGGCCCGTACAACCAGTGCGGGTTGACGTGCCGCGACAAATCACGCATTGCGTGTCTTCATTGTCGCTGCCGCCCGAAGCTGGGCAAGTATCACTTCTGTGGGCGGACGTGTAAAGAGCTCGCGATGGAGACGGCGCCCAAGATTGTGGAGATCCCGAAAGGGCACGTCACCTGGAGAATGGGTGCGTCCGGCACCCCGTCTGCTTGTTTGCTTTCGACTGGTTGGCTAAGTTGACTTTGGCACGCAGTGGAGACGAAGTTCAACATGTCGTGGAAGCAGGGCACGCGCCCGGCGATCAAGCACGTATACAAAATTATCGAGAGTACAGGGTTCCTCCAGCCTTACGATGCCTACCGGTGCGTCTCGTATCGCCACCTGCTCGCCGTTACTAACGAGCCTGATGCTGTGGCCCTGCAACAGGAAACGAATCGGCAATGAGACGTTCCGTTACCATGGTACGACGCGTCAATGCACACTGGGCAATGCAGGGCAGACGACGCTGTGCAGCCAGACAAACTGCGCGGTATGCAACATAATGAAGACCTCGTTCAAAGTCAGCCTGGCGAATCCGAATGGCGCGTGTGTCTCATTTTTCCACCCACGCCCTCAAAGCACTGACAAGGTGGGGTTGTGTTTTTCGGCAGCTTTGGAGCCGGTGTATACTCGTCGTCCGCGTCGAATAAGTATGTATTCGTGAGCTGGGGCGTGGGCTGCATTGATGCGGGATCCGTGCTACAGGGCAATGAGCTACTCAAACGGCGTCATGCTCCTGACGAAGGTCGTCCTCGGATGCATATACAGCGTCTCGTACTTCAACGAGGTTACGTCTCTTCCCGCAGGGTACAACTCCGTGCGTTGTCTGAGGCGTCCAACCTGCCAGATGCTGAGAATCTGAGTCTTCAAACAGGTCGTCTTTGACAGAATGAACGGGGCGCTGAACGAGACGATCGTCTACAGCGACGATGCGATCCGACCGGTGTTTTTAATTGTGTTTTGAGCGACGGGCTGGCTTTGGTTGTTTGCGACATACTCTGCTACGTTGAGAGCACACTGATTTCCTGAAGCGCTTGGTCAAAGTATCCAGACTTCGATGAATATGTACACATGCAATCGATTCCGCCATTGCGAGATTCAGCCACTTTATGCGCGCGCGACCCTTCTGGCGCGGCGTAGCATAATTGATCTCGCGGCCGGTGTAAGTGAGAAGAATATTTCCAGAGTCTTTCGGTTGTTCATTAACGTTTTTAATCATCCTTTTTATCTCTCACACGCCCCTCAAGCTAATTGACGACCCACATATAGGTATAATGGTTCATATCGTACATCAGGTTCATATGTAGGACACTCCAAATTTCCACGTCGCAAGCGCGAGGTCCAGCTCACTCAGTAGTTCCAGCACGATTGGATGGTGGTCCTTAGAATAGTCGACACAAAATGGGTCCTTAGCTAGCGTCTCTGTAGCAGCAGGCATCAACCCAGCGTGTACAACAGCATCCAGAGAATCTCGAGGGCGTCGCTTGTTTATATTCAACGGGGTCCACGGCAAAACTGAGCGAGAATCTTCTCTCCAGACTGGATGGGCTACTTGGCGCAAGCGGGCAGGAAAGGATGTATGAGGCGGCAGAGCGTTGGGGTCGAGGTCGGCGAGCACAAGCCGGGAGCGACCCAACGATGAATGTTTGGTGGGTTCAACATCTTTTTCGAAAGACGATCGATTGTGTCTTACCATCCCACTGCTAGCTAGGAGCGTTCGGTTCTCGTCCAGGTTTGACGCCAAACCATCTGAGCTCGGGAGATGCAAAGTCGAATGAACGATGTTCGCTGACGTCTGCTCATCGTCGTCGTCCTCACCACGAAGTTGGAAACAAGCGAATCGTTCATCAGAGCCCGCGTAGATAGCATGACGCCGGACTGTCGAATGGCGTGTTCCTGTAGCATTGCGCAATGCTACGGGTATAGAGCTTGAATCGGCGCTTGAGGCATCGAAGAACTTACGGCTAGGGACCTCAGAGACCGTCTGTGATCTTCGCCTTGCAGCGAATCCTTTGACAAAATTGCGCGAACGGACCTGTCTAGAATCCGAGATACGATTTTCGGAATCGAGTCCAGGGATTGGACGTGCGACCTTGACCGAATAGCGAGATGACGGAGTGACAAGTGGCCCTAGTTCGTCAGATTCCTCCTCCAAGCCGCTGGGCTGTTGCCCTGTTTGAGTCGTCCGTCCAGGCGTGCGTGCCAACGTATCTCGGATCATCCTGATAACTTCGTGGGTTTGAATCGACGAAGTCGATGATTCGTGCTTATGGGCGCGAAAGCTGTCGCAGAGCGGAGCTACTCCATCCGTGTCGGTACTTTCAGTCCATTTCGTATCCAGGAATATACCCGAGTCGTCTGCCTGGCTTTCAGCACGCTCACTGACATGGGCCTGTGCTACGGGCTACGGGCTACCTGTCTACAAGTGTTGAATATAATCTTACTTAAGAACTCACCAGACTGTTGTGTGTCGCTTTTCTCATTGCGAAAGGGGTAGAACCAGCTGACATGTTCCGCTTGCGACGCATAGCCTCCTCTAACTCTGTCTCACAAGCATCTCCCGTGGAACGAAATCTCCGTGACGACGGCCCCTGTAGGCTTTCGCGCACCTGCTTGAGCGGAAATACCCTGAAGCGATGAGGATCGCGTTCGCGCACGGCAACTGTCGTCTGCATCTTTCTTGCCCTTCCCTCCGAGTGACTTCCCTGGATTGAGCTGAAAGCGGACTTTGGTATAGGGGTATCTGGGCTCGACTGCTTAGCAAAGGTTGAAGAAACGAGTCCAGGACTATGCGGGATGCTGAAGCTGCGAGTTATGTCCTCCATGGGATTGGGAGAATTCAAGTAAGGTAATTGCGACATGGGATACAGTCGGATGGTAGTGTTATAGGATGGCCGTCCTGCGGCTGATGTTGACGATGAGGCGGGGTTGCTAGTAAGTGTCAAGTTGAAGTTTCCTCGAGAAGCTATCTTGACTGAACTTAGTCGCCTGCCTATTTGGGATCGTTGCGCTTAAAGCATCATCATATACTGAGATCTGCCGATCTATGCTATCATGTATCCCAGCAATATATGCCTTGAAAATGAGTGCGGAGACATATCACCCGGCGCCATCGACGGCTCATGTTTCAGATAGTCATGATGCGCGAGTTGTACCCTCCGCCCCGCTCCTCAGTTCTGTCAGCATGTCCTTGAGCCGCTGACGCAGTTTTGTAACCATCGCATCTTCATCCGAGTCCGGGGGAGGCTATATTGGATTTTCAGCAACACCGCTCAAGGCCAAGTTGCTGCGGCATAATGCGTACCATCTGGTCCAAGAGATACTAGATCGATTTGTATGAGAATGTCAGGATTCATGCGCATTGTTGCGAGTAACATACCTCTACCTCGTCTATGGTCTGTCCTGTCCCGCCTCATTGAAAAAAGTATGTGAGATAATAATTGACTAGTGACAGACCAAAATTATTGGACCTCTGTGAATGCGAATGGAGTAAATATACGCTCCATACTTTCGGAAAACGCTGCTCTAACCTATTCATGTTCAAGAACTCCCAGTAGAAGTACACCTACTAGAAAAACCTTGAGCTGTCGTCTAACAAAAGCGTGGTGCAAGGCACGATTCCCTGGCGACTCAAGAGTTGGCCTCAAGACTAGGTTGACTGATATTCGGAACTCCAGTTGATCAGACTCAATCGCGTGGCCGTAGAGTTTGTACTGGTTTGTCGGCAAGCCGAAACGCTGAAGCGCTGAAGGCTAATATTTGCTTCATAGTTACATGAAGTCCGACCTTTACTGTAGTGCATTCACTACCCACTTGTATCATTTGTCTTACAGCCGAGATTCAACATTTCAATGCTTGCTGGACGAAATCGAAATCACGTCGCACTCAACGTATCGGACGAGCTGTTTGGGGGAATCTCGGCCTTTACTACTAGTGTACGCTGTGCCACGAGACGGTGGGTAGTAGCGCTGCTAGATGTCCGATCTTGGCTGAATCTGCATTTCTACCTTCACAGCCACTTCTCAGGCAACTGAACATCACTGCTGAAATAAATCCTTCAAAATGCTGTCCAGACATCACTCATTACGAGTTCTTGCCACAACCGACCACTGATCTCAGAGAATTGTCACACCTGGTATCCGGACGCGACCCAACCTCTAACAACCTGTCGTTGCTCAAGCTCTGGCATGAAGCAGGTATATAATGATCACCCTCTCAGAGCGACGAATGTATCCCCCTCAAAACATGCAGAAACGCCGCTGACTCAACACCGGCCGCGGTCGGCCGAAAGACGAACAGTGCCCGTCCCTCGATTCTGCAGAAAGGTAGGAAATGTAATTCCATCTAAGATATACTTTTCTGAAGGCATGTTGACGTCTAGGAGGAGAACTTCGCAGATGACGATGTCGATTCAATGCTCAAGATCATCCTATGGTCTCTCTCATACAACGCTGCGCCCATCATGCTAGCGCGATGTGACCATGCCTCGAAGCACCTCGGTGATGCAAATCGCCTATCCCTCCCGCCACGTACGCTTCCCCTGTTTATCGGCGACGTCTTGCGCCTGTGGCGGGGAGAGAAGATGGTGGTGTGGACTACGTTATACATTCTTGACAAACTCAGAGAGCCTGGACCCGGGGAACCTGGCCAGGGTTCTGAGGCCGTTCCTCCGGATGGATTGCACTCATTGTTTCTCGCCGCCTTCTTAATCGCCATGAAATTCTTATGCGACGACGCGGATGTGGGATTGTTTCGAAAATTGGAATCCTTTATGCCTTCATATAGGACTCTCGACGAATCGGAGTTGCAAGTGTGCGTGACGTTACGCTGGCTCTTCGATATCCACCCTCAGAAGCTCGATGTCTTCAAACAGAAATTGGAACAGGACTTTGCTCACGTCTCGCGTCTTCCCTCTCTCAATGGCTATCTCCAGCCCCGTCCTGACTCTTCGTCATGCGATAGTGAGCCGTGGTTATCTATGGACAATGTCGGAGGATGTCTTGTCAAATCTGACTTGATGGATGCGCATCGGTCTTGGGAAACAATCGAGCAGGATATGCAAGCTTCCTTGGATCGAACTACTTCTGAATCGCTATCTTCGATTAGGTCAAGCAGACGACGGAGTGGTGCCTGGATACTAGATGCCCCACCCGGTGGCGATATTGCGGGTCCTTTCTCCTCGGTGATCGATCCTGTCATCCCAGATCTGCCCCCAGGTTGGATGCATCCACTGGTGCCTGCGATAGAGTTTTCTGCTCTCCAGCTAGCTGAGGCGAGCTCAAGCGTGTCGCGAGTCCATGAACCTCCACGTAAAGTTGGCATGGAACGCGGAGAGCCACCTCGAAGTTACACATCGACAGGCATGCGGCGCACAAGCCTCCCGCTCACGCAGAATGAGATTTCAGGCATAACTCAGCAACTTCACACGCTGGAGGCTAAATCCCCTGGCTGTCGTCCATTAGATGCTTTGATCATCTCCCCTTCTCTAGAGTCTTCCCCAGTTATACCGCCTATATTTAGCGATCGATCATATCCCCCTGGCATACGCATGAAAGACAATGCATCAATCACCTCTCGCGCCTCGCCTAAAACGATAACGGCAGATGGTCAAGTGGTTCATGAACTGCGAAGGGAGGCACCGCGAATGGTCCCGAGCAGACGCATTGCGTCACCTGGGTCATTTCATGCCCCAATTCGCTCTCCGGGACCGCAGCATACTGAAGCAACACCTATTGTCCCTCCTAAATATCAAACAACACCGCCTGTAATCCCCCCCAGATACCCACCAATGACTCCGCCGGTTATTCCACCTAGACGCTCTGGCATTTCATATGCTCGCTGACTGTTGGCTCGATGTGAGGCATCATTACGTTTGTTGGATTCAATCGCGAGAATTATGCATACTTTAAGATTGGCAATTCGCTGACTCCGACTGACATTATTTGAAGTACACTGCACAGTATTATCTATATCTATATCTTAAGAGTACAGCATGAGAAAATTTACGTCTCTTAGTAAGGGATCCTGACCAACACCAAAATCGGAGTCGGGGTACAGTAGTCGGTATTCAAATGTCAGCATATCGCCGGTGAGAGTGATATGCGATAGCCCACTCGCAGAGATATGAAGGGACACATAGGAATAAGGCTCACTTGCCTCATATTGAGGGAAAATCGGAAACGGCTGAGCGATCCGTCATCGCGATGGTGAAATCTCGCCTGAACTTAGACACCTGCCTTTTTGGGCCACGCTTAGTAGCCACCAGCTCGCGCTTCCGACTATGCCAGTGTCTGGCAGTTGTGTCATCGGGCTATGACCTTCAAATCGCTCGCTGGGGACACCTCACCGTTACAGAAAGAATATCTTTGTGATTGACGGGTGCGGTATCCTTGCTCACATGCGTCTGCTGGCATCATCCTGCGAGGTGAGCTTGAAATTGCAGTCATTGGCACGAAGTTACGAAGCGCGCGGCTTGAACATCAAAAATATGTCCATTCGATCGTGTCGCAGAATTATATGTGTTGTGGTGAATACAAACGATAACGAGTGTTAGAGAGATGAGTATAATGACGTACACTTCGTATTAGTTTTACTCACGAGAATTAAATATTGAGACTAGATTGATCTGCGACGTCGACGTCCATTCTTGCGGCAAAATTACAACACTTCACCTTCATCCCCTACAGTATGTGAACGCCGGATTGAAAGAAGATCAGTTGTGGATTATATGGTCCGGATTGTGGCTTCGGTCAGCACGTTGCTTTGTCTTGATTAGTCATTTTCAAGTGGCATCCTGCCACAGCGGCAAAGCCAAAGGTTATGGGCCCTGAGGTTGAATTCTCATATAAGATCTTCTCCCATTCCTCTTGGTACTTATTGTTCCCGGGTCACAAGTCATTCTCTTTCTCGAGTCCCATCTCATTCCTTCATTTTCTGTCTTCCTACAGACACCCGTTGGTGCAGGTGCCCTTCTCATTCATTTAGCGGTATAAATCATCGGGTATGAGCCAAATTCCAAATCGAAGACCGCGGGCTATATCAACAGGGACGGTTGATTCCAGCAGAGTGTCGTCGTCAGTGGCGCACAATGGTAGCCGGTCCAAGAAGACGAACGTGCCCCAGCCTGTGTTTTGCAAAAATGTGAGACCTCATATCTATCTCCTGGACTTGGAAATTCTCACTGCGGCGGAAATATCTTTAGACTGGACAAGACTATGATCTTAAAGATATGGCTAAGGTTGCTGCCCGCTTCCTCGAGGAAACGTTTGACTGTTCTGGACACCTTCCTCCGCTACCATCAAATCCTGATCCGAGGATGGAACCACCCGGATGGGAACTCGACATTTTCATTGGCTATGTCCTGTATCGGACACATCTCGCGAAATGGACTGTGATAAACGCTTTGTACTTGCTGGACATTCTCAAGAAACGATTTGAGAAGGGACGCGTGTTTTGTGGGCATTATTTAATCCTCACCGCTCTCATACTGTCAATGAAGATGTTGGCCGACGACGTATACGCGCTCCATTCTTGGGTGGCGGCAGCGGGGAATCGGTTCCATGGAAGAGAAATTGCGCGACTGGAGCGCGAAGTACTGCGGCTGTTAGATTACAACCTCCCTACTAATATTTCCGTGAAGACTCTGGATGAATTTGAGCGCAAACTAATGCACACCTTCGGGGCCAGAGGTAAGTTTTCACTTCACTGCTTTATGAGATACATTTAAAGTCGACGATCTTTCATTTTCGTACTTAAAGCTCCACCGAAGTTGAATGCGACAAGAAAACCGAGCGGGAAGCCACCTGCGGTGCCGCCCAAGGATGATGCACCCTACGTCATCTCGGCACAAAATTATCAAACTCCCCCTATAACTCCCATTGACGGCAACGAAGAGCCGAACGTTGTCCCTCCACCACCACACTCCTTCGGAGCACCCAGAGTACAATTCGAACCCAGGCACTACAGAAGTCCAGTGTCATCTCCAGCCGAGTCCGAGGATGAGGATTACCGTCCTCCAGTTCCGCCTAAGCCTTATCCCAGGCACGAGGCATCAAGAGCCAATACCTACTTGTCCCCGGTATCCCCTCCTCGGCCGTCGAGGTCCATTACGCGGCGTCCATCGACCCCCCATGTTCCCCGCCCTCGAGCACCCAGCGTTCCCTCTGCGCCCAGCATTCCTCGTGGACCCGTAGGACCGATCTCTACCGCTTCTGAAGCTGCTGCACGCCACGCTCACGCCATGATATCCGCTCAGTCTCGTCAACCGACTCATCCGGGACTTCCTCGGCCTGCAGCTACACAACGGCCGAAGGCTGTCTCGACCGCTTCGGCGGCGGCTGCGCATGCGATACCACCGGTTTACCCTTTCCCGCAACCCAAGTCACAAACATATCCGTATCCTATCATTAATGCTCCACTGTATCAGCCTGCCCAAAATGTAACGGCCACGTCGACAAGGACAACCCTCCAGCCTACTAGTAGGAGGCGAGCGACTGCTGCTACTCCCGGTGCTGACAGTGGATTTATGCTTTTCAGACGGTAAATTTCTAATCACATCATTTATTTTGTATACATGTTATGATTTGCTTGAGTTTTGTCGGCCTGTCGTGATGTAACTTCGCTGACCCTGCTGTATCATTGCTCTCATTATATTCTCGTGGTCACTCAGAACTCTGTACACATTCCTTGTTTGGTGCTGGATCTTTTCTACTCTCCAATCTGTACGTACATACTATAGTAGTGTCATTCTAATGCAAGCGCTGGACGCTGTTGAACTCATTTTGAGGCAGATTTTTAGCGTAAGCCTCAGGCTTACAACGGAAGGATGTAAGGTGCCACAAAATAGCATGCCTGCAACATCACTTTCCCTCAGACGATCGGCGACATACCTAAGCTCGCGTGTTTTTTTGAAAGCGTGGAATCAAAATTCTCACAAGCGGTATCCCTCGCTGTGCGACGTTACCAAGCTCCTCTACGGTACAATTCGCCAATCGCCTTGGGTTACATCACTCCATAGATACGCTTGCTCCATCTCAACATGATCCACCTCTTCGTCCTCGGCTACGATAAGCCCACCAAAGGAAATCTCTGCAGGACTGTGCTCTAGGATAGGCTTCACAACAAGTTGTTCAGCACACGAGACGACTCGTCCGAGATGAAGGAGCATCTCGGGTGTGAACGTCGTCGGGTTTATACCGAGTTCCTACATGACGTCAATCGAAAATTACGAGCGGACGCTGAGAAAATTTACTGACCTTCCATGCTACAACGATATCGGGTTTCAGTTGAGAGGGCACAGAGAGTTTTACGAGAGAAACCCATTTTGCGTTCACTGCGGCTCGGTCTAGCGCCGAGGACTCATGCGTAGGAACAGATCTCGCGCGAAGACGTTCTGTAGGCTCCGGGGCGATTTGTCCATACTCCATATCATCGTACGGCAGTTGGTAATCATCGTCTGCGACCTCCTCAGGGTCCTGCAGTCGAGCTCTTTTTTTCCTCTTGTTCCTCTTCGGATGCAGACCTTCTTCAACATCAACACTGGTAACAAACATATGTGCTGGTAGTAGTCCTCTTTCTTGCTTTTCCGAGGGTGGAATGAGACGTGCATTTGCCAAGTATACGTCCTGATCAATTGTATCAACGCTACTGAATGGCAGAGCTTGTTCTGCTGAAATAGTAGAATGACTAGGTCCCGCCGCATCGTCCTCGACATCAAAAATGATTTTCGGTGGTATTACGGACGACATAGACTTTTTGAAACCCTTCCGCTTATTCTTATTTTGGAGGGACGCCATCATGATGACCGGAGGTTCTTGAGTGGCCTCTATAGAAGGTTTGGGAGCTGACATGACAAGTGGTATTTGCTGCGGTGGTGCTGATTCCGGAATGCGCGTTCTCAATCCCAACGGAATCTCATTGACGCTCACAGGTTCTGCCGTTGCCGCAAGACGTTCATACATTCTCTTCCGTCGCCGGCGAACATTGCGGCTGTGCGTGGATGGTTTACCCAGTCCCGGCGGCACGAATACAGTGGCGGTAACACTGGCACAGAATGGTAAACAATGTTTCCGGAATGGGAGAAATGCGATCGCTCACGATGCCCTACTATCTCTCGAAAATGCTAAGGACTGCGCAGCAGTTACGGACCCAAGCACGCTACAAGTCTTCTCTTTACTTTGGGCCGGTTGTGTTGCTTCTACAGACGGAGAAGAGGACGCAGAGGATGCCGATGAGGATGTTTCAGAGTTTGAATCCGAACCCGAGTCTGATTCTGACGTTGTATCAGAGCTGTTGCTCGTGTTAGATTCGGACTCGGAATTTGAGCTAGACGAAGAACTGGGCGAACTGCCACGCTGGACATAAGGCCGTGGTTTTTCGTGGGTCGCAGTGCTAGATAGCAAGGTTTTCGACCTGAGCTCATCAGCCACATGTTTCGTCCGTTTGCGAGCAGGACTATGATCTGAGAATTGGATGTCATATCAGATGGTGCGAAGAATCAGCAAAATAACATACCGCTTGTAGGCGCCTTGCGCTTGTTAGACGGAACCAACGAGTTACGTTTGATACTGTCAGACAAGGCTGCCATGAGAGCCTTCGATAAACGGAGAATGTTGAAGCAGATCAGGTACTCACACTATGAGATCTCCGTCCCTGACAACATCAATAGGACTTGAGTCTAACAGTTCAAACTCCTCGAGGACCAAAACCAGGTCTTTCGCATCCAACCGAGCATCGCGTAAAGCAGGAAGATCGGAGCAAAGAAGTAGCTTGAGTTCGAGAACTGTAGATGCCGAGTACACGCTGAACCAGGCTTTACAGACAGGCAGGGGCGGTGCACTCGATATTTTGACTCGCATGAGGGATGGCAGAGAGGTAGTAATGAAATGACGAGGACTGAAGAGGACCAACGAAAAAGGAAGGAAGTTCTCACGGGTACTTTACAGCTTACGATCGTGTGGCCAACGTGACACAGTCTATCCTCTGCCTTCGACGTGGACGCGACGTGTCCGACGTCTTCCTCTCTTCCTCGCCTTTCTTTAACCCTTTCAGCTATACTGCAGTTGCTTCACGACCGACACGGCTGTCTTAGACCCTCTTGTTTGTCTAGGCCGCCATGGCCAACTACAACTATGACGAGGCCGGTAACATGGCCGCATATTTCCTCTTGACCTGTCTTTCCATAATCCTGATTCCCCTTTCAATATCGTCAATACCATCACGAAGTGCGTATATTTCTCCGGAAACAGACTTGTGCACTAATCACATGTTCAATAGAGCGCGAGGTTATGTCCGGTTGTCAGTGCAAACTCTGTGTCGAACAGCGGGAAAGCATTCGCAAGCGCGAGAAAATATCATTATTGGCTCCTAAGTTCAAACTAAAGTACGGACTTCGCACCGTATCCTGTGCGTGGGCTTTTGATCAGGTTCTGGTGCAGAACAATTATCCTCATGGCTGGTTGGGCCTTGGTCGCGTTCCTTGTATATAAGGTCTCCACGACCGAGGTAGAGAATAAAGTCTATGATCCATTTGAAATTTTAGGACTTGGCAGTGTAAGTATTGTCTCGGCTTCCTGGATCTTGATCTCATATGATTGGTATAGGGTGTAGATTTGAAGACCATTAAATCTCATTACAAGAAACTGTCCCGGAAATTGTGAGGAACTTGTTTTGTGCCTATCTCCTTTTGCTTAGGCACCAACAGCCATCCGGATAAAGTGAAACTAGACATAAACCAGACCATCGAGGCCGTTGAAGCCAAGTTTGTGGAGATTACAAAAGCATACAAATCGTACGTCTTTCTGTTACATGTTCCGCTTGTGGGGAGATGTACACTGTAGTAACCTAAACGCGGTCGACGTTGGATGGTAGGTTGACGGACGAAACGATTCGGAAGAATTGGGAGCTCTATGGTCACCCAGATGGTCGTCAGGAAGTCTCCATGGGTATTGCACTCCCCAGTTGGATTGTGGAGAGTAGTAACAACATATGGGTTCTTGGCGCATATGGCTTGATCTTCGGTGGTGCGCTACCTGCGATGGTGGTACGTTGCCAGATATTAAGCTTCAAGCTGCTTCCGCATTGATATCCATACGTTATATAGGGCCGCTGGTGGTTCGGAAATCGCCAGAAGACGAAGGATGGTGTCAATGCACGTACTGCGGCAACATTCTTCAAGGGTTTGACGGAGGAGTCTAGTATGGAAGAGGTAGTTGGTTCTCTTGGGAAGACGTTAGAGTGGGAACGCCCAGCGGTCAGAGCGACAAAGAAAGACGACGAGTTATCTGAATTGGATAATAAGATCAAGGCGCAACTCGGCAACCATTGGACAGAACTCAGCAAGCTTGCTGAGGTGATGCCTGAGAAGCACAATAGCCGCCAAAGATCGTTCATCTTGCTGTATGCTCATCTCCTGCGTCTGCCACTTGATAACAATGCTCTGCGAAAAGGTCTGCTGGGTATCTGTCATTACCTGTTAAACCACTGATATAACTTTTGCAGAGCAAGCTGACATCCTGCTTCAAATGCCAAGCTTGCTCAACTCAATGCTAAATATCAGTACATCGCGCAATTTCCTGCAGCCCACACTTTCTGCTATGCGACTCCATGCCTACCTCGCTCAGGCCATTGTTCCTGGTCAAGATAATCTCAGATTTGCGCAGCTCCCTGGTATCAGCCCCGATGAGTCAACAGAGCTGTTCCCTGGTGCGAACGAGGTGGCAGATGTCGTTAGCCTATTGGAGAAGAAGGGCGACGAGAGGCTTCCGGAGATAAAGAAAGCTGTGCAGAAATGGGGTAAGATCGACATTGTTGATGCTGGCTTGAAGGTGCTGGGAGAGCGATACATCACGCCATCTTCGTTCATTTCTTTCGTCCTCAAAATTCGGTTGCTACCACCATCCTCACAACCATTTACCAATGGTGTTGCTCATGATTCTAAGGCGGAGGAGACGAGGGAGCAAGATTTCTTGGCTGCCAAGGGAGACGTAGAGAACATGCCGATCGACAAATTTTCCAATGGCTGGGCGCACGCTCCCTTTTGGCCCGCGGTAAGTAAGATGGTGCTTGTGACGGGCAACTGATGTTAAGGTTTCGTACAGAACCGCAAACCGGGATGGTGGGTCGTGCTGTCTGACGTCAGATCTAATAAGATTATGGTTCCGCCCATGAAGATTTCCGATATCCCAATGGGGGAAGACTATCGCATGTACAAGCTACAGTTCTCCGGACCACCAACTACAGGCAACTTCCACTGGAGAGTACATGTAATTAGCGACACATTCGTGGGCGATGAGCTCTCACAAGATCTCGTGGTATGTTGTGTGGGACCATGGATCCCGGGATTGGAGCTTGCTAATTATATAACTCAGTGGAGAATTGACGACGCCTCTGTGCTCGCGAATGAAGATGCGAACAACGAAGATGAGATCTCAGAGCCAGAGGAGGACTCATTGGCTGGCCAGATGGCGTTGATGCGAGGAGGCTCCGTCAAGCAGCGACCAGACGAGAGCGATGACGAGAGCACCACTGATGATGATCGCAACGATGACCGCGGCAACGACTCAGATAGTAGTAGTGATAGTGACTAGGCTAGGGGTCGATGTGTTGACTTCATTCACTAGGTGGTGTACATGATATTTTGGCGAGAGCACATAGGCCATAAGATAATTCTAATCCCATTTGATGAGCAGTTGGAGCCTGAGTTTGGAGTGATGGCTTTATTAAACCGGGGACTACGAAATGTAATCATAAACGAAGTATGACAAGTGCCGGTTCGCACTGCAGACGCTCCTTGAGTCAGACCGCCGGAGCAATCTTAGCTTCGCCCGCACAGCTTTTCCAGCTGCAACCAGCTATGTCTTCTTTGATGCACCACTCTCACTTGCGTAACCCTCAATAAACCGACTCTTTGACGAACAAATAGAACATACCATGGCGCCTAGCTCGGCCTCCGCGTTCCCCTACGTTCAACCAGCTCTTTCACAACTCTTGGTCGTCGGGTCTTTCTTATATTTTTTAAACGTTATTCGTGTACTTGCAGATCATTTCGCTCATGCCGGGATCGTCGCAGAATTGTTATTAGGCGTAATTTATGGCACCCCTCTCGCGAATATCCTACCTCAGGATTGGGAGGCAACGTTCAGTACACTGGGATACTTAGGCTTGGTATGGATGGTATTCGAAGGTATGTTGGCTTCAACATATCTTGCTGACTTGCGGGCTGTTCGCAGAAGCCAGCAGTTTGCGGAAATGTGTGCGCTCATCGAGCATTATTGTCATAGGCGGCCTGTCCACTAATCTACCAGTACTCTTCTCCAATCTTCCTCTTTCCTGTCTTTGTGCTCTGACCGGGATCACTCTCCCGATCGCATTTTCTTTTGCCTTGCTCTCTGGGGGCTTTGGATACGGAAATCTAGAAGCGTTTGCAGCAGGCGCTGCGCTGTCCTCCACTAGCCTCGGAACTACCCTTGCAGCGCTGAACAGCGTGAGTAGAGATAACTACAGCATCCCAGAGAAATTTGCAGAAAACGAAGCTCTTTCCGACAAGAACGAGGGAATTATTGCAAATGCCGTGCAAGATGTGCGTGCCGATCCGATGGACCTTGTAGATAGAGCACAGTGGCGTACGGACCACCATTCGAAACGACAGACTACAAGTCTTAGGCCAGTTCCCTCAGCTTCGTTGCCTTCACGTGTACCATCTAGCATTTCCTTACAACAGACCCGCATAGGTACTATTTTAGTTAGCGCAGCGATCCTTGACGACGTCGTGGGTCTCGTCATTGCTGCATTGATCCCCGCACTGGTCACCTCGAGCTCCTCTGGTTCCCAACCACCTCATTTTGCGTGGACGCTGATCCGCCCACTGCTTTCGTCCATACTAATGGCGAGTCTAACACCACCTGTCGCGCGTTTTATATTGCGCCCCGCATTCTGGTTTCATTCGATAGGCGAACAGTGGTGTGCCCCTGCAAGTATAGGAAAATCATGGGGATGGTCGCATTTATCGACCAAGGCGAAGATGTCGACTGACCGTAGCAATTCTTGGGGAACGGAAGCCCATGCGGATGCCGTGAAGCTAGCCATGATGGTATGCACACTTGGCGCATTCGCAGCAATCGCATATTGTGAGTAATACCACTGCAATGCATGACGCCTCTGATGGCCAGTTGCGTCTCTAGACACGGGAAGTAGTGTGCTATTCGGCGCGTACATTGCCGGCCTCACGCTGACTTACGTTTCAAAACTTCCTGTCTCGACATCTGACGATACCAACGATGGGGAGGGTCGCGCATTCAAGCGTTCCGAGGCACTTTCGTTTGAGAGCACGTTCACCCAGACGATCGGGCCTCTACAACAATACTTATTGGTGCCATTATTCTTCGCCAGTATCGGCTACGCTATTGTAGGTGTCTTCAACAGACTCTGATAACTGACACCTTCATGTCCTTTTACTGATATTGTATCAGCCATTTTTATCCCTCTGGAACGGCACCATCTTCTGGCGAGGGATTGTGTACGCTGTTCTCATGAGTATCGGCAAGTTGATGGTGGGGGTGCCAATCATCTTGTGGACTATATCTCCTCATTTGTATCAAAGCTTTGGCTGGTGGTGGAAAGCCTGCTCGAACTCCAAATATGCCCACAGGCGAGACCCACAGGTGACAGGGCAGCTGCCTTTGCACACGTCTTGGCGGAGTACATTCACCGCCTCTATCTATCCTGCAATGTTCACAGGCATTGCTATGGTCTCACGCGGAGAGATCGGCCTACTTATAGCTGAAATTGCCAGACATGGCCCGGTAATTTCAGATTCTGACGTGGGGCAGAGTAGCGGATTGTTGGGTGATGAAGCTTTTTTGGTGTGTATATGGGCGATTTTGATATGTACTTTGATTGGTCCGATCGGCGTCGCTTTTGTGGTACGGCGATGGGGCGAGAAAGTCACCCACGGAAGATGGACATGAAGACTAGTGGAAAGGGTAGTGCCTTTCACTGTGATTTCCTCCGTCCTACATCAACCGTTTCAGGACACGAATTCAAAATTCCTCCCCTCTCTCGCTGTGGTAATTAATTTGACATCATGTAGACATGGAAAGGCATACGGTAGATCTAGTCTCATACAATACAGATCTAATGCCCGTGGATCATCACTACTTAGTTGTGTTCATTCAATCCCGTCTCCATCTGAGAAATCAGTTTCAACGCCTTTGTCGACCGTGGCTTGATGCTACATGAGAACTCCACTGGATGTCTGCGGAGTACCGACACGTATTAGGGCGCCTCGACAATTGCATTGCTATTATACGCACTCTACAAATCCGGAGGTGCGCGCTCCAGAAGGCACCACTTCCTCACCAGCAGCGTCGATAATTCTGGTGATATCCAAGGTTACCATCATGTTTGCCATAGTGAGCCATATCGTCCCGTCTGCTAGATCTCTTCCGGGACAAACTCTGTTTGTGAGATGAGCCATCTGGGGGATTCCAAGTATTCCGTCGACGGTTTTACCTACGCCCAAATCCGAACGCAAATTTTCGAGAGTCCCTCTCACCGAGATCATTTGGGTCAACGCCTTCGAATCGCTCAGGATAGAAAGCTTCCGGATCGGGGAAAAGCTTAGGATCCCGTGACATTGCCCTAGTGAACCCCCACGTCGTCACAAGCGGCTGGTCAAATGTAATCTACTCACCAGGCATTTGGAATTATCAAAGTTTCTGCTTGAATGTCATAGCCACTATACACTTCTGAGGAAGATGTCATATGAGGGATCGCTTTGGTGAGGGTTGGTGAGTCCAGCACAAAGCATACACATAAGGTTACATATCTTACCGAGTGGCAATGCAGGCCTCCAACTGGCCGAAAATTATGTCAGTGGAAAAGGGCAAGTCAGGTAAAATGCACTTTATTCACCGATATAGTTCAAGGAGGACACATTCGAGATATGGCAATGACCCTCGGTCTCCAAAACCAGGCAAACGGTCCTGTCCTATACAGCTGTCTATTTCATACCGTGCCTTCTTTAGAACCTCAGGATACATGACCATAGCAAGAAGAAATGAGGCGAGTATAGCATTCGTCTTAAACACATCGTCAGCGAGCTGTTGATCTGTTCACTCGATCAGGAAAGACCATACTGTGTCAGTCCCAGCTACACACGTAAAGGGCAAATTCTCAGATCAAGGTCATGAAGAAGGACACAGAGATTGACCTCCGTACACAATTGCAGCGACTTCCTTGATATCGTTCGCATCCTCTGTTGTCAACGATCCCTTGTTTGATAATCGCTTGATCAGCGATGCCGTGAATGAGGGCAATGCAGTACCAGAGGCCTTCAAGCTATCGGTGCACGAACGGTTTGTTAGAGGCTATGAGATGGACTCACCAATGCCTCGTGTACCATCTCGTACGGCCTGTCGATCATCTTACGTACAAGTGTCCGCACCTCAGTAACATGTCTCTTGAACCCGGCTCCGGGCACCCATGCTGGGAGATATGCCACTGAAATAAATTCTGTGTTAATGTCTGATTTACTTGGATGAATGCACTTGCATGCAGGCCAAAAATCCGCCATTGTTGTTCCCGGGCTCCCAAATCTCACTATCTTGAGGAGAGTCTCATCTGCAACTGTTATGTATTTATCATTGTCAGATGTGACGACGTGTCCGTATGCGATCTGCATCAGTATAGCACCGATGAAGCTAGGGAAACAGTCATGAGTGAGAAGGAAAGGCGTGTGGACACTGGAACATTCACGTACCGCTTGAAGTGTGAGCTATACTGTTCCGGTTTCGCAATCAGACCGGAGAGGAGTATATGCAGCTCTCTAAGCTGCAAAGATTGATAATCCTTCACAACACTCTTCTGGAATGTATCCGATAACCAACGACGATGCCTTCGAAATACACCATCTGGCTTCTTCCAGGTGAAAATGGCCCGCCAGCCCATACTACAGCCCACCTCATGATCAAAGCAAAGATCTTATTACAATAAGCAAGAACACTCACCTCTCATTCAAGATGACGAAACGAGGCCTGTCTGAGAATCTCGCACTTCTTTTCTCCAGGAGATCATGTGCAATCGTCAGTGAGTTGATGACAAGTACTGGAGTGCCAAAGAAGCGGGCATAGATGAGAGGTCCTAGATAGCGAAATGGATTTCAACTCGAAAAGGCAAAAAGGCGACGAGAGCTAACCATGCTTCAAGCCCCACTGTAACAATGTTTCTTCTTGATACTCGGTGGAGAACTGATGTATATTGCCAATGAAAGGTAACGGGCGTGGCCCCGGGGGAAGACGTAAGCCACGATCACGACTGTAGTAGGTTCGAAGCAGGATATGAGCAACGAGCAACCCTGTGAACAGTGAGCCCGAGATGATTTCAAGGGTTGAAATCTGTGACATTGCCGATGGTTGAGCAGATAGAAATGAGGGGATGGTGAGCGATGGTGATCGGCCGAGAGTCATTTATACCATCTAGCTAATCTTGCGCACCTCTGCGGTGTTAAATCGCAATTCAGATGGTGCTAGCTGGAGCATAGAAAGACCCCGAACCTTAAGAACTCATTCTCTGATGAAAATTTGTCCGAATGTAGATCATGCGCTAAGGACACAGGATGACCAGTGAATGATCATTGTGTGTGCTCACAACTTACACAGCAGGGCTATTCCGTGAACTCGGTGAATTCAGAATCCCAATATAGAGTATAATGGAGATGATACTTCGAGCATTGGTCTGGGACAAACCTGGTTCATTATGACCGTACTGATCAAGTCACTTCAGGTGCACATTGAATTAGCCTCAGGTGCGATGGTGGAAAACACATCCGATGTGGATGACAACTCGTCGGACTTGACCTGACTCATCTGGCATTGCATCAGGAGACTAACAATACTAGAAGAGAACCGTGATGAGCCACACAGATAAGCCAAGATGTTACCCAAGCTGACAATGGAAGAAGATCAGAGTTCTCTCGTATGATATGAGGGGGCGGTATTGCGGAATTGATGTGCAAATTTTCAACATATGGGAACAGAAGGCAAAAGTCGTCGTGCAGCTCTTGCATCTTTCAATACTATAATCTATTAGTGGCTCTTCATAAATTCAATCATTTCCTCCGATTGCGGCTTGATGCTGGTACAACAATCTTGCAGTGCGTTTGGACCTGCAAGTCAGATGTCATTGGTGAACTGAATTGAAAACCTAAGGATTGGGAAACATACTCCACAGTTCCAGAAGTACAGGCCAAAGAAGGGGTTACTTCTTCACCAGAATCCACTGCGAACTCCGATAGTATCAAGGATAGTTACCATGTTCGCGATAACGAGCCATACAGTAGCATCCGTCAAGTCCATTCCGAGACAGATTCCATGACACCTACATTACTACACCTCAATGCATTAGCAACTTTCAAGCAGAAATTAGCAGATGTGCCACATCAGCAAAATCAGAACCGGAATGTATTCAACGATAGCCATTGTAAATTAAATGTTAATATTTCTCTGCATGCATATGTATGTAGAACAATACCTTAGTGGCTTGTAATTGCAAATAGAAATCAGCATGGTGATGGCATGTGCATCCTCTTGCATACTGTTTTAGCATTGAGAACAATTGCAATTTGAATTGCAGTGTCACAAGCTTTTATAGGTAATCAGAAACTACTTGAACTGTATAATTCTTGCTATCCTTGTGTACTTAATGGGTCTTATGGCATAATCAGAAACTAATTGTCTTTACTTTGTCCTAATAGGGCAGCTGGTTAATTATGTAAGTGCGCCATTGGGGGGCATGTCTTGTTGAACAAATAGTGAGATGCACTATAAGTGTTAAGGGATCTAATGACTGAGTGTTACAATGTCAGGAGGGGGTTCTTTTTTCTTTTCCTAACTATTTGTTGTTGACCCTGTACTATACAACTGATCCCATCACTTGATATGTTTCACCTACATCAATGTTTCATATCCATTGTGTTTCACTTATATCATGTTTCACCTACATCATGTTTCACCTCTATCACTGATACAACCCAGTGAAACTGTTTTATGTACATCACTGATCCAACTCAGTATTTCAGACTTATTAAACTCTATTCACTCTAGCCTACTTAAGTAGCACTGCTTGTGCTACTGTACTTCAGTTTTGTCCTCTTGTTCTCTACATACACTTCATAGGGACAGTCCTCAGTAATAGATTCAGTTGTCTATACAAAATCTTAGTCTGAAGCTTTGCTTCAACCAGTATATGCTCTCAAACCACTGCC